GCCTCCTCAAAGCTAAGGAACCCACAGCAGTGTGTGTGTGGGGGCATTGCCTTTGTGTCCCTCCCCCAGAAACGAGACAGCCCCAAGTGTGGTTGTCCATGTCGGAGCTTTATTCCAGGCCAGGGAGCACTGGCAGGAGGTGGAGGGAGGATGCTGTGGGGGCTGTGGAGGTAGGGATGCGACCCCCAAGCCCCAGTGGAAGGACACAAAGCTATAAGCTCCTTTGGAGCGACTGCAGCAGCATGTCCAGCTGCTCACTCAGGGCCAGCTCATCCCCATCGTTGGTGATCACCCAGTCGAAGGTCACTCCCTGGTCCAGGCCACACTCAGACTCGGCATCGTCCACCCCTGGCAGCACAGGGAGGCCCAGGGAGGGTCAGGATCTGTCTGTCCATCTGTCCCCCTTACCCCCCAGAGCTGGGGGGCTTGATCCAAAGGATGGCTGTGGAGGCAGCACACCTGTGCCCGTGGGGCAACCCCAGTTTTGGCACCGCATAGGGAAGCTGCCCCTGACTTGCTCACCAGCAACGAAGACCCAGTTCCTCCTCTTCCTCGTCTCCTCCGTCGCCACCACCCGCACAGTCTGCACCGAGTCCCCGTAGACGTCGCGGAACCACTCCACGTCCGACAGGCGCCGCGTGTCGCTCACCACCTGCACGGGGGCTCCCTCAGCACCTGCCCTGTGCCCCCCAAAACCCCTCGTGGACCCCCCAGGCTCACCCAGACAGGCTGTGCCACCCCCTGCACTGCTGCCCGGCAGAAGTATCCGGGATCGGCGCGGCGCTTTTCCTCACCCCAGCGGATCATGTCCTGCCGGAACTGCTCCTTGTAGGCACTGGCGTCCAGGAGCCGCTGGAAGTCCAGGCCATGCTCCTGGGGGGAGAAGGGGGTCAGTGGGCACAGCCTGGGCCACGGAGCATGGCATGGCACAGGATGGCATGGGGAAGTGCTGGTGTGATGTGCCATGGCTCAGAACAGCATGGCCTGGTGCATGGCATGGTTCAGTAGGGCACAGCGTGGCGTGGCAAGCACTGGTGTGACATGCCATG